CATAATGACGATTGTAGTCTTTCGAAAATCTGCTTTTGCATAGAAGATAGCACAAAATCAAGTTTCGAAGGCAAAATCTGCATTTACTGACATTATTGTCACAAACATTAGAATTTCGAGCTAACGCGATTACTGTACTGTACGTTCTCTGCTAGTTCCGATTTCTACTAGAACGCAATCTTTTGTGAAAATTAATTATTAATTTTTCTATTCTGTGCTTATTTTACGCATAATTAACTTTTCTGTATTTTATAATTTTTATTATTAACTCTGAAGTAACGGAATTTCTTTATAATATGCAAGGTGCGTGCACATTTTCTCACAACACAAACTTCCCCGGAAAATGAGTATTTCTTTGTTTTATTAATAAAGTTATGGCAACACTTGGGCAATCTGCCTAGAAGAAATGCCTTCCGGGAAGTCTTTTTAAGGGTACTTGCCCATATTCAGGCGTAATACTACGTTCGCACACAATCCACGACTCACTTCGATCTCGATTGTAACTGTCGTTAGTCGAACGTCGAGCTGTTCGCACAGGTAACCCGCTTGAGAATAACCCGGTTATTCGCATTTTGCACCGGATGCGCGCCCTCTGGTGTTTAAAAACAAAACTATTCTATCTGGGTCGTTTGATTCATTCTTGTGTATTATCAGCAGTAAAGATGAAAAGCGATAGAAAAAGCAACGCTTACTGTTGGTTCCAAATTGCAATTTCAAAGCCTTACGAGAGTCTGATATAAGTTTTCGTCTATTTCCACACGAAAAACGGGAAAAACAGATGATTATTCGGAAATTGATCGGTTATATATATGAGCTCTGAATTCTGAAAGAGTGGATTAGACTGTTAAGAATTGGCAGTTTCCCGGTTGTCCAGCTTTCACGAACAAGTTATGCTTTCAATTTTAAAACATTTTGTTAAAGTTTAAAATGCCGGTAATTTTGTGTAGGACACGGGGCCGGATTTAAGCATTTCGAAGCCCTAAGCCGAACTCTGTAAGGCCCCTTACCAACCCTTCACAATTTTAGAAGTCAATCATAAGAAGAAAAGAATTAAATCACACTATGACTCTGATTTAATACGGATATTGGAAGAAAAAGACGTGAGGTTTTACTAGTCTTCTGTTTTATAACTAAGTTTAATTAAATTTTTATACCCATTCCATTAAAAAAATTTTTTTTAGATTGGTTTTATCAAATTTTTTAAAAAAGATCTTACGCTAATTCTCAGAAAAAAAATTAATGAAATACTACAGAAAATAAACAGTGAAGTATATTTTGTTGGTTTGTAAAAAATGCTTATTACAAAATCTGACTTCGATTTTCTTTTTTGTATAAATGTATGAGGTCCCTTGAAAGTTGAGGCTTTTTACTTGTAAATCCGGCCCCGATGGGACAATGTCAAACTTGATGTTTTTTAACACAAAGGGCACAAATATGTATAGAACGATCTCACTGATTTGTTTCGATACCACATAATGAAGTGTCCCGCTAACAATAATTGTTCTCATTCTATAAAATTTCTCGATAAACAGCTACAGGCAGCATATATCATTATATCGGACAGTAATATATGATTAATTTTACATTACTAATTACAAGAGACCCAGATAAAGTAGCCATTTTGTAAAAATGCAGCGCCCTCGATAGTTCATGAAAAACGCGAATTGCTAGCGATGATAAAACTGACATAACTACGCGATTAGTCACGAACAGCAACAGACAAAGTAGAAGTTTTTGTTAGAAATAAATACTTTATTTTGCCATATATCTAATAATAGACGGATGTCATCGTCTCTCCAGATGTCTTTTTTTATTTCTTTGCCGATACCACGACACGTGTTCCGCAGCCATCTTGTATTTTTTGCGCGCGTGGGATTATGGGATCTCTCTTGAGTCGATCCCGATTGAACCTCGTTTCAGTCGAGATTGAAACGGTCGAGAGACATCCCACCACGGTATAGTCGCCGACCTTGGTCACAATCTAGGTCGAGATGCTCGGTAAGTATTTGAATAATTAAAATATATTTGTTCTTCCTATTATACTAATATTACAATGTGCCAGCGGCGGGACAAGACCTAAATTTGCTGTGGGCAAGGTACAGTACATTTCGCGAGGCCCTCTGGTGGTGCAAGAAGACGGATTTTATAAAACAAAAAGCAGTTGAAACTGTCAAATTTTTATTCCTAAAAACACAAACTTCATTCTTTAACTAACATTAAAAAAAATTATAGAAACAGAAATTTCCTGCTTTTAGCCTTACTGAACTCCTTAATAATTGTATCGTAATTCAGCTTATATGCTATATATGCTTCAATAGATAAACTTCCAAAGCCGAAAGTCTTTCCTGACCGATTGTATTTCTTAAATAATCTTTTATTAGTTTTAATTTTGAAAAGCTCCTTTCGGCGTAGGCAGTACTTACCGGTATTGTTAACAAAATTCGAACGGCAACGTAATATATTTGGTTAAATTTCTTACAAGTTATTTGTTGTTTTGTATTGGAGCAGCTATTTCACATCTTTAATGAAGTTGGGTAAATTTGGGATTATTGTTTGTAATTCTTCATATAACTCGTAAAGTTGGAAGTCACTGCTCTCAACCACTCGTAAGACTGAGTGTAAATCTTGACTTTTGAAAGAATATTTTTTAACTTGCTTAGATCATAGAGAAAACCAAAATTTTCAAAATGTTGATTTAAAGACATAAATCCCGAATCCACATTGCTTATTATAGAATCAATCATGATGTTAAAAACATCTGTTTCATACCTACTTTTGGAAGACTGTATAGGTTGATCGCTGCCTTTATCATCGAACATTCTTTTCTTTTTGGCTACCCGTTCGTTTTTAGTCTTTTGGCAGTTCATAATAGCTATTCTCAAGAAATTGACGAGAGTCAGACAAGCATTTTTCGAATCCAGATTGTCGATATTCTTTGATCCAGTCACAAAATGTACAGAAATGTTCAAGAGCATTGCTTAAATGGACTTGTAAAGATTGCCATAATTTCCTTACGATATTAACACGCGATAATATCTCATACCATACATGTAATGATATGATAAATTCTAAACTGAGCTTTTCGTTTAAAACCGAATCACAATCACTGAATGTGCCTGATTGTTCCGTTTGATTTTTTAAGCTTTCGATGCATTCAACATCAAATTGCAATAATACGGTCTTCACTGCCTCGATTCTGCTTTCTCACCTTGTGTCAGATAAAAGCTTCATAGTAAGCTTTAATTTGCGTTTGATTAATTCCCAGCGTATGCTGGAAATTGAAAATAGCAAATAGATTTTCTGAATAAAACCAAAAAATGTTTTTGCTGCCACAGAAGAATTAGCTGCGTCTACCAACAGCAGGTTCTAGCTATGACATCCGAAAAGTGTGAAAAATGCCCTGGGATTAATATTTAATATTCGAGTTTTAACTCCACTGTTTACGGGATACTTTACTGCGATACTTTGATTGGCTTTCTAGCCGTTGAGAATCGTGAAAGTAACGTAAACAAACACAATGAGAAATCCCCAGCTCTGGCTGGCAAGGATTCCCCGCGATAGCAACAAAACGCCAGCAAATGTTGCTAGACAAATAAAAACAAATTTGGTATGTCAATACATTTATCGTTTTATGACAAGTAAAATTTTTTCGTTGAGTTTACGGCTTTTATGTAATGCATAAACCTTTGAAGCGCGAGGCCCCTCGGACAGCGATGCCGTAGGCGGTGGCCCACGTCACCCACACATTACGCCGCCTCTGCAATCTGCAATTTTAGAAACTTTCCTACAAAGCTTTTCGTTTGTAATTTATATAAAATGATGTTTCATAAAAATATACCCTTTTTATTTTACATGTTATTCGATATTAAATTTGTATAGTGCCAACACATTGTTACTGACCGTAGAAAGTTTTCCGCCCAATTTGAATGAGCTATTGTATCAATATGTCGAGATCAAGTGCAACAATACATGACTGACACACAGAAAAGTAGGGCAGTTCTAATGACGAGATTGTTAAATGTTATTGCCTGCATTTGGCAATGAATGCAGAAATGTCATTGCACATGAAAACAAATTATATTTTCTACATCGTTTTTTGCATGGAAAGAGCAGGAAAAAGTAAGATATTTTATAATGTTCAAGCTTAGAAACAGCAATTTTTAATCCACAGTGTTCGAGAAATTAAAAACCATTAGTAATTGCATTTCTGTTTGTATATCAATTTGGATATAAAAGTAAATAAGGGACCTGTCTGTGACATCATACAAGATAAGTTTACATAATGCAGATACGTAGAAAAAGATATACATTAGAAAAAAAATCAGTTTTTGAGTGCAGAACAAAAAAATTTAATACGTTTATATTATTTTCAAAAGCTTCTTAAATTTAACAGCAAAATACTTCTAAAGACTCACGCTAAATGATATACATGAACGATTCGGTGTTGAGAAATATGCGAAAAAATGCAACATTGCAATAAATGGACAAATTTCAATATATTTGTTGATTTTTGTCTGCATGAACATTGAGACAAATATAAAAATAATGAAAATTAATTGTCTCGATACAAACTCAAATAAGACGGAAAAGATATCCAAATACTAATATTTATCAAAGTGTCAAGAAATTTTTCAAATTAAAATCAGACAAAGAATTTCAAAACAAATTTCTTGAAACATGTTTGATTAAAGCAATACGTGATAATTGAATTTTTTTTTGACACAATTGAAATAAATTTGTATAAATCCAGATTGAAATTATTTTTAAATTTATTTTAATTTATAGTTTTTAATTAACTTGTAACTTAATTAATTTTCCAAAAATTGTTTTAGGTTTTCGCACAACGTTACAAGATGCTGAAAAACACAAAATTTACGTGTGTCAGTGAAAGTCTATGCAAGTGTTTACGATATCTCGGCAGAAATATTGCACGACATCCGTATTATTACATCATTGCATCTTCCATTGTCTGTGCTTTACTGTGTATTGGATTTTTCAATATGAAAATCATTCATGATATCAATTATTTGTTATGTGCTGACAGAGGAAATATTTTTGACATTCGACAATTCATAGACAAAACATTTCCAATGAACACTTCGGAATTTGACGATTTACAAAGGATAACTCATCTTGCAGTCGTACCTGCGATCTACATAAAACACAAAAAAGACAAGAACGTATTACATAAACATATTTTACTTGAAGTTCAAATGTTAACCGAAATACCAAATAACGTCACAGTGTATGTTGATGAAAGACAAATTGGTTACAACGATGTTTGTGGACGAATCTATGAAAAATGTTTCGAAAATCCTATTTCCACTTTGTTAAATCGTGCGGATGATGTACTTTCTAAGAGACTGAAATTCAAGTATCCCGTAGATATCGATCCTCTAACGTTTTCATATAAGATAATGTTATTCAATTTAGGAGGTGTGATCGTTGACAAAAACGATTATATACAAGAAGTATACGCCATGCGTTTATCATATCCATTAGATTATACCAACACAAGTAAAGCGGAGGGGAATAAAGCATGGAGCAAAGCTCTTCACAGCAGAATAAAAAAAATGCAATTTCAAGTATATTGACACTTTTTTCGAGCCATTCGCTTCGACTGATGATAATCTTATATTAGATATGCAGGAGATAATACCATTTATAAGCGTCACTATAATCGTGGTATGTCTTTTCAGCATGCTGAGTAACACGACTAATAGTTGGATTAGAAGCAAACCGTGGATGGGTGTAGCCAGTGTCATGTCAGCCGGAATGGCTGTAGCTGCCTCTTTTGGATTACTATTTGCGTGTGGTGTAGAAACTACGTATTATAACGTTGCTCTCCCATTTGCAATTCTGGGTATATAATAGGTTATATAATGTGTACATGTATTTTGTGACTAATATTTTTAAATTGCTTTTCAGTGACAGAAGTGGACAATTCTTTCGTAGTGATCGCGTGTTGGAGAACAACTGATACTCGCGATCCAGTTGAAAAGCGGATGAAAGATACGTATTCTAATGCAGCAGTATCCATAACTATAACTTCGTTAACCAACTTTTGTTCTTATTGTATTGCAATGAATTGTCTATTTCCAGTAATTAGAATATTCAGCTATTATGCCGCTACCTGCATCTGTTTTACGTATTTTTTTCAGCTGACGTTTTTCGGCGGTTGTCTGGCTTTGAGTGAATACAGAGAGGAGAACGGTCTTAATCCCATTTATTATAAATCTGTTTCAGGTAAAGTAAAACTTATTAAATAAAACTTTTACAATTAATTTTTTTATCATAATTATGTTGTTGAATTTAAAAAATAACGTAAATGATCTGAAAGATAATGAAGCAGAATTTTATTATAAGAGATGTTTATTCCACACTAGACACGTAATGTTTTGAATAATAATTATACTAAATGAAAATATGAAAATCATAAAATTGATATTATTAGGTTATGATCAGACATACATTATTCAATCAAGAAAACTACAAATAGTTAAGAGTATGCGTTTAAAGAGTATGAAATGAAAAAAAATGTTATTTAAACTCTGTGAAAAACGATTCTTATTTATTAGTAACAAACAATTATTACAATGTACTTATATGCTAAATTTTCGAATGTATGGCAAGACCTTTAAATGAAAAATACTTCTTATAATAGCGGTGAATGATTTTAAGTCAACAAATGAAATTTTACTGTTATTATTTGTAAAACACAAAAGCAATCTAAGTAATGTAACAAAACTCGTGGTTCTTATACACAAAAATATACCTATAAAATGTACTAAACCCATTTTTTTTCTCAAAATTAAAAGTCTGTATATGTTTTTTGACTTACTGTTTTATTGCAGTCTTATGCTATGGAAGAATTCTAACCACGTTTTGTGTGCAGTTACCATTAGTATTTCATTGTTTTCGTTTTTCGTTTATGATCTTTTCATTTTTTATCTAAAATAAAGAGACTTGGTAAAAAAAATTGTGTGAAATCAGTTGAAGCGGACATGATATTCGCATAAAGAAAAGCAAATATTACTGATATAGAATTGTTCAATAAAATGAATTTTTTCCCTGCATGGTACAGGAAAAATCGATAATGCTATATACAGAAATACAAATATCTTAAGGTATATTGATATATTCTCACTGCGTAATAACCTGTCATTTCCATCTTTGCCTTTGAAACTGTGTCTTCCTTGTTGTTTGTTTATTCGACACGATAAAGTGTAATTTACATATGACACAAGGCGTTCTTTACATTATTTTATATACAGTAGAACCTCGAAAACTCGGCCTAATGTGGACCGAAGGATGGCCGAGTTTGTGAAAATGCCGGGTTATCGGGAATGGGGTTAAAAAATATAAGTATGAGTGTTTCCTCAGAAAATACTGTACTGTACTTGTATGTATTGTTTACTTGAGTATATAACAGAAAATAAACTGCCCAAATACCCTTAAACAAAGGGAAAGTACGTACTTTATGAAGGCATAGATCCTTTACTACATGAAAATGAAAATTAATGAATACACTGTGTACAGTAATTTATCTGATAAGACAGACCTCAGAAAAATACTTTATGAGAGCTTTTATACTTTTATAAAGCTGTCTATAATATAAATTAATTAACTAAGGATTTTTTTGCCCTGCCAGGGTGTGGCCGAGTTATCCGGAGTGCCGGGTTATCGAGAGCCGAGTTTTCGAGGTTCTACTGTATTTGTTTTTTATTGCCCATACGCGTTTCAAGTCTATACCCTTCTTCTGTCGGTTACATGTAATTACAAAATACATTAAGATATAGTATTATATCAAAAAAACGAATGTAATTATTCAAAAAGAGTCGTACCTTTTAATGTTTTTAGGTGTTGAGCATATTAAATAAATTGTTGAACATTACAATACATTTTGAAAGAGTATGCTATTTTTTAAATTGAGCTGCAATTTCCAAATTGCACACCTATAAGTTTTCACTGGCCTCTGTGTGTTTTTTTCTCAATCTCGGTAACGGTGATAGATAGTTTAACAGCATATATGATAAGATATGGAGTACGTAGGTACAGAAAACCCCGACTAATTAACTATATACGAACTTCTGGATTGGATCGAAAAGCACGTCATTTCAGTTCAAATATTTTTTCTAAAACAGAGTTAGATAGATGATTTATATGACTCTGTTTTTAACAGGAAAAGCACCATAGGAATAATTCCTAGTTTGGAGGTTTTATACTCCAAACTAGGGAATATCTATGAATACCTGTATAGGTCCACAGGGGTTCCTTGCTGGTTTAATTATGTATGGTAGAATACTTCTTAAAAAAAGAACGAAAAACTGTTTATAATAATAATAATAATGAACAAATAAAATTTAGAAAATTAAAATACGTAAAAAATATTTTTGAAAAAGTAAAAGAAATATTTAAAAATTATATTATAGCGACACCTGAACAAATAAAAATATTAAAACACATAAAACATTAGAACTTAATAACAAATAACACCAACTTTGGAAACGTTTTGTATAAACTGTTAGCGAGTTTACAGCGATCAATCAATAAATGTTTTCTCACCATTCGGGCCACAAATTTTTTTGGGAAAGACCCTACCGTTGAAAAACAGTGACAGGTGAGTTGTAGGCAGATAATTGTAGAGTTACCATAAGTCCGTATTTAGTACGGAGAGCCTATACTTTAAACGGTCTGTAAGTGCCCGTACCGTACTTAGAAAAAATAGTGAAACTGTCAGAACTTTTCAACTGATCGCGCACTTAATAGTTTAATCATAATTACGTAGATTTAAATCTTATAATAGGTGCTAAATTTTTCATAATTATAATTATATTTATCATTATATAAGTAAATGTAACGATTCTGTTGCTTACAGAGCATGCACACATTCATTATAACTGTTTTTTAGTTCGATAGTACTCGTTGCCTACGGTGTAGAATTATTATGTATTATTAATCGTAGTGAAAAAACAATTTCTTTTATTTATTATCTGAAATTTAAATTTACTGTTAAAATGCGAATAACAAATGAAATCTTTATTCAGTCTAACCCTACTCGACCTTCTATGTTCACATTCCTCGAACAAAATTTAACAGAATCAATCGTTTAAATATGCCAACATCCCTGCATAATTTCAGAAATTTTTCGACATAAATTACAGGAGTTATTAAGCTTCAAAGAGGGTGAAGAAAGTCTTGCTTCCCACAAATACACACCCATACACACTAATATTTATATATACAGCATATACGCAAATTCTCCTGCATTCCCTGACGCTTCTATTTCCCAGGTACAAAATTGACTCGTCAAATATTTCAAAGACAGGAAAGTAAAAATTAATTAATATTGCTATAATGATTCTGATAGGAATTTAATATGTTTGGAATTTTTCATTTTCTGTAAAACTTTATAATTTATTTCAATTTAATTAAATTTGTTTTACTTGTTTATGGGTAAAAATTCAACAAGTTTGTTTTCAATATTTTCCAGAATACGGCATTAATAACAGTTATGAAGAAGAGAAGCAGGAAGACATTTTTATGGAATTCTTCAAGGAAAATGTCGCATCGTTTCTGTTTTATTTTTCAAATCAGATTATTATAATACTTTTGTATGTCGTTAGTTTATCATTTAGCATATGGGGAATCATTTTTTTGAACGAAGGTCTTAATGTATTCGGTTTTTATCCCGAAAATTCCGAAATCACCCGAGCATTTAGAGTACATTATAAATATTTTACTGAATATCCATTTACTATTCACATAGTGATTAAGGAAACTTTGGATTATTCAAACGAAGTCGTTCAGAAATCATTAGACGACATGATTCAGATGTTTCGGTCTCATCCGAACGTGGCAGATATGGATATTTCTTGGTTGAAGTATTTCAAAGATTTTCAACAGCATTCAGCAGCGAAATATTCTTTTAAGGGATACGATTTATCCACTAAACAAGATTTTATCGATGCTTTACGAAATGTTTTTTTGAAATTTCTAGGAGCCAAACATTACCAGAACGATATCGTATTTAATCATAATTATACCGATATTATTTGCAGTCGTTTATTTCTTTTAGCAAGAAATGTTTCGGATAGAAACACAGAGAAGAAATTAATCAAAGATATACAAACGATGGCAGAAGAATTTCCTTTCTCCGTTCTTATTCACACCATGATATCGCCATTCGTAGAGCAAAGTATCGTTATTAGAGAAGTGGTCTTTCAATTTTTTTTGGATGACGTCGTTAATAAATCTTGTTATTTTTATTTTCTTTAATCCAAATATTTTGTATTCGGTTGTCGTTGCTCTGTGCATTTCGTCTATTACGATCCAAACCCTGGGTTATATGTCTTTATGGGGTGTGGACTTGGACATCGCTTCCATGTTCTTCTTAGTAATTTCTATTGGGTTTTGTGTTAATTACCCTACTCACATATGTTATTCTTTTCTCACTTCGTCAGATAAAACCATAAAAGGTAAATTGAAACACAGTTTATATAATGTGGGATTTCCGATATTTCAGGGCGCATTCTCAACCGGTATAGGTGTGTTGATTCTTTTACACAAAACTGTGTTTCTGAATAAAATATTCGTTAAAATAATTGTAATAATTTCGGCTCAAACTGCGTTTTATGCATTATTTTTAATTCCTGTCGTATTATCGATTATTCGGAGTTTTTTTTTTTGTGTGTGAATCAAGCTGGAAAACATATGGTACATAAGGAGTAATGAAGAGTTTCAGAAAAGCATATAAATCCGTTAATTGTCGAAAATAAAACAACTCAGTCTTTAGCTAATACATTTGTTGTATTTCAGATCGATATACTTTCTTGTCATTTGTGTATGTAAAATACATAATTACAAGTTGTAGAGTAGGTTTTTGTTTATTAACTCAATTTAATTTAAAACAGACTTCTTAAAGTATGTAACTCTAAAAGCTGATAATTTAAATTTGATGGCGTTTAATTGTATGCATTGACATAACACAATTAATTCTTTCCAGAAGATAGAATCAATGCAACTTTTAAATTTGATAAGTGGATTTTTGGTTTTAAATTACAACTGATACCACTAAAAGAATTAAGAACATGGTGACGTAAAGTTGCAGCCAGGCATTTCGACGATATCACAATAAATTTTCGATCGTTAGAATTAGTTTGGTTTATTTGGTTACGGCAACGGATTTCGAAGCGAATCTTCTTGTCTTTTAACTGTCTTTGCACTGTGGACACTAGCAAGGCATTTTTGCAAGCCCATTATGGGTTCGGCCAGAACTACAATTGGAATTCCAAGTGATGAGATATAGGGCCCGATATATCGTGACGAACCACCACCCGAAAAATTGTTGGATTTTTTCCACTCATCCGGATTCCAATACGAGTCTTCAACAGCGGTAGGCTGCCACTTAGACCGCTTGGCCATTCAGCCAATCTTTCGATACTGTCATTTTTGACATACGTAACAAAGTTACATTTATTTAAATTGTATTCATCAATATTCATTAATACGTTGGAACATGGGATTTAGTAAAAAGACAAAGGTCTGCTAGCTTTAGTTCATTGTACTTGAACTTCATTTAACCATGAACGATTAAAATGCTTTGGAAGATGAAATAATTCACTTTATTCTACAGAACAGCGTTTCTGAAGCACTATTGTTATCCTTTATGCTTATTTTTTACAATATTGAAAAAATTTCTAAACAATTCTTGTTTGTAATTTTTAATGGTATTTTAGTTTAGCACATTATCTAATTGACAAACCTTGTTTGAGAATAATTATACATTTAATTCTTCCTGAAGTTTGACGAGTCCCCATATTTATGTTATTTCCAGTGCCATCCTCGCCTCTTCAGTACTCAGAATAGGAACAATTGTTTCATACTCATCACTTCCTTTTTCTTCCTCCTCCATATATTCCTGCATTGTTTAATCTTCTGGAGCAACTACAGATCAAAAAATTTCATCGTTTGAAAGAACTCCTGTAGCAAGATAGTTGTCAACGCTCACATAATCCCGCATGCTGAAGTTACCCAAGGATCCTTCAACTTGTCAGCACAAGATCATTGACATATGTAGCTTCAGCTTCTTGGTTCCTGTATCTTCATTACTAAAAACATTCATAAAATGCTTTTAGTGTATAAAAAACTTTGTAACTTTTGTAACTTGCTAATCGCGTTTCAAAATACTTTTTCCTTACTGGAATAAACGAATTTTCTAAATATATGAAAAATGATACTTTTTTCTTTTATCAAACTTTAATTCAAAGATACAATAAAGTAAGCTAGACAATATTTTGTTAAAAGCTAGCCGAAAATGAATGTTTAAGTTTTCATGCCATATTAGATCTTTAAAAAACAAATTTGTTAAAAACAGAAAATCTTTCAACATCTACACTGCAATCAGGAAAATTAGTGCCATCGGTGCGAATTTAATGAGGAATGGAATATTCCTTCTTAAATTTTCTCGCCCCCCTTAGAGCAGCAAGTAAATCTAAGGGAAAGAAAAGAAGAAAGTCAGCAGAGAAAGCTGGTGTGGTATTAAACGGTAACCACAGGCGATGATTGGGACACTAAAAAATTTTTCTTTCCTGTGTTAAATCGAATAAGAAAAAATATAGCGTTAATGGTTTCAAGATGTGAAGAACAATGTACGATAAGAGTGAAGTTCATAAAAAAGTTTTCTAAAGATATTTCCATGCAAAAAAAATGGGTTAAGCAGCGTTGGGTATAAGTTTACAGAACCAAAGGACAATGACTCGAAAAACTCTGGAAATCACTGCGTTACAGCAAGCAACTTTACACTTGCTGGAACTAGTTTTTTAGAAAATACTGCCAGTTCTATAGGCAAAAGGAAATCTATTTACCGGGTAAAAATATTTGGAAATAACTACTGCACATTTGTCCAAAACGGTATAGTTAATTAATTTATTCATTGCACAATAAGTCTTAGAACTGTGAAAATTTTTAATCCATTCGGTAAATCACTTTCCAGTTATCACAGTAAGGTCCAAATAGATCTGGACTCGAGCGTTGTCTTACCTATGGAGCCCTCATTTTGGGCTTTCTAATTGTGCAGGTTTTAATTAACTCATAATTTCAGCTCCATGTGAGGTGAAAATCACAATATAATTAAATAAATATAGAAAGTATATGTTTTTTCCAAATTATAAATTAGAAGTTTGTAAATAGTCTGAACTTCTAATTTATAATTTGGAAGAAAAATATCCTGAGTTCATCATGCATTTGAAACTACATGCAAATTACAGATAACTCGTATCCACCACTAGAGGGCTTGAACCTGATACAAAGTGTATAAACTTGACAGTTGGGTATGAAGATTTACTTTGATTTTTAATGTTATAGGCGTCAGAACCTAAAATGAAAGGCTGACGTCTGATCATTTTTAATAATGTAATTTTTATCTATTGTTAATTGTTTTTAATGAAGTGATTTCTTCAAACAAATCTAAAAGGTGTACTTATATGGTGCGTGAAAAAGATGAATTGATAGACTCAAAAATTAAATTAATTTTTTGTAAATAGTCTAAACTTCTAATTTATAATTTGGATGAAATAAAGTTTCATATTATTTTTCTATAACATTTGATGGCCACTTCTCCATACGGTATGTAACTAAGCTACTAATGCCGCAAAAATTCACAACTGAGCTACTCCCTACCCTTCAGTACGAACTGCACGATGCCCCATTTTCTATGAATTTCAGTCGTTAAAAATCTGGCATTGCAAAAAAAAAGAAAAAAGAAAAAAAAAAAATTGTGGAAAATACAATTTTCTCTCATTTACAGATACCTTTTTGCATTCATATCGCATACAGGCAGTAAGATCCAATCAAAGATTTAATAAGATTCTCAGGAAACTGTTATCGACTAGGAACAAGGTTTTCGCGGTTACACAAATTTGATATCACAAAATATAGGCAATAAACAGGGAACTCACTTATGAAACACCTTGAAATAAATGCAAATTTTGCTTTTGAAAATCGACTAACTGCTATTTTGATAAGGACGAGAAAAGTGTGATAGAAAATACGTACTGAAAACACTAACTCATCTACAGAAATTTAAATAGATGTGAATGCATGCTCGATATTTTTAATAATGGCTCTAATGTAACACGAATTCTTTTCAGAAGGTTTGTGGTTATTGTGTAAGTTTAATGAGAAATAAAGGAAAAACATACTTTAAAAAATATTCTGCCCTTTCTATATACCTTCTTATAAATTTATCTGTTAATTCACATTAATAAATAATATCATATTTCTTCTGCACTAAATGTCGATATTTCACTGTAGTCTCACTTACGAAAGGTTTAAAAAACAAAGTGAATGGTTGCTTTGTATCTGAGATTTCGTTTAAAAATTCGATATTTAGTTGATAAGAAAATTGAAATTTCCTCGTATGAATGAATTTATTATTTAAGTTAGTTATTACTTTATTAGGAAACAAATTTATAAGGAAATGAATAGAATCTTTAATAGTAAAATTTATGAAATTAGTAATTAATGAAATAACTATATGCATTGTGTTAAAAAAGAAACAAACTTTATTAAATAGACTAGATTAAAAGCGTGTTTGTAGATGACCTCATATATATAACTGCTGATTAAACTAAAGTTGAAGCTATATTTCTCGCCTGTTTTATTTTTTTTTCTTTGATAAACACTTTTTTATTATCTATGAAGCTTTGAATAATATTAACACTACAAACATTTGTAGCAATGAACAGTGTTAAAATTTCTGGATGTTGAAATCCGATTATTATACTAACAATACAATCATTTTATTCCTCAATTTTCTTTTCATAATGAAATTACTTCAAAGATTTTTCGAAAGTATTAAAGTTAGAAGAAGTAAGGTAACTGTCTGAAACAGTGCCAAACATTTCAAGTCTAACGGTGTCAAATTCAAGAATAATAACCTTTACAAACTTGTCATAATAAATTTTAACGTTTTCCAGTATAAGTTACGTAGATCTAAGAAATGATAAACGGGAGAAAATTGAACAACATTAAAAACTTGTTCGGATAATGTCGAAACTTTGAAGAACAGAGAAGTGCGCTTTCTTAAACGTATTCGACTGCCATAATTAGTTGAGAACGTAATAATATCGGAAAACAATTAGATTTACAATCGTTACGATAGATAATTAAAATATCGAATTACATAATGTATATAGGTAAATCTAAACATAGTATTTAAATTAACTCCAGAAAACAGAAAACAGAAATTACTATTCATACAATATCGCGTATAATCA